TCCTTTCTTCTGTCCATCAATCCCAGAGATAATCCACGGGCAACATTCTGCTGATGTCAAAGCCTGAATTTTGCCTGAAACTCTCAGACTGAAGAAGTCTCTTGGAGGAGAGACGAAACGTTTCATTAGAGAAGAACCCGTCCAGAAGACCTATACAATTTTTTTCTTTTTGATAAAAGGAAAACAACAGAAAAGTCATCACACAAACATGGTAAATTCATGTTTGTGAAATATCTAGTAAAAATCAATTATCAGAAGGTAATTTGTGTTGTGCAAAGTATAAATAAAAGCAGAATGCAGTGATTTGCAGATGTCATTTATTTTTCTAAAATGCAGCACTGTGAAGGACTTGTGAACCATCCTGGGTGTAGTGACCCCCCCACCACCCAGAAAAGAAGAAGTGGGTAAAGATAACGACTGGRTGGATGGATCATAGATAAATGGATAATCATCATTCCAGTACTGAAAATAGAAATCAGCGACTAACATTTTGCGCCTGTGTGTAATTACCAAACCCAACTGCTAACCTTAGAGGAGTTCCACCCTTTTAAGTACAGGCATGGGGTGTGCTAGCAATTCATTTTCTATATACCACCAACAAACTCATATGAAAGAGCTGAAATTATAACCTTTTCAAATCAGTCTGAAGATGCATGCATTTTAACGAGTTCTGGTAGCCCAGTGAGTTTTGCTGCTAAGTAAAATATATCTGAAAGCACTGCAGCAAAACAAATTAAAACTCCTGTTGGTCTGTGGAGCAGAGCGCATTACTTTGTTGTTCTTTGCTGCCATCTGGCGGTCAGGAAGTGAAACGACTCTTTATTTGTAAACACAGGATTTAGTTGTGGTTACAGGGCGATTTGGAGGCAAGCAGCTGATGAATATTTCAGTGTTGCTCGTGTGGGAGCACAGACAATAAATAATGTGTGTAAACTTTTTAAAACTCACCTCACAGCTGAACTCCATATCCGACTCCATGGTGCAGATCCTGACTTTGAAGTTCCTGGCTTGTTTTCTCATCAGAGAGTTAAATCCCATTTTGGCTGCTAGAGCGCTTGCCATTGTAATGATAAGCTCACAAACTTACTAAATGGAAGTACTTCCGCTTTTCCCTTTTAAATTTAACGCAATGTCAAGGCATGCTTTTTAAAACCACGCTTGCTCTTTTAACCCAGCTGAAAACAAGTTACTTTACTCACAGGAGAACAGATGTGTAACACGTGACTTCTCTGAAGCTGTGGATATTTGTAGACAAGTCAAAGTTTTAGGACTCTTGCTGTCATATTTGACGTTGAAAAAAAAAGTCTCGTACGTTCTGGTATTTTTCTAAAAATGCTGCGTAAAATATTCCCAGCACAAACAGATGAAAATAATGTCCTCCTCACCTGGTTTGGCTAGTAGGATGAGTTAAAATTAAATAAGCTAACTAATGTTAGCATCACTTTCTAAATAAGATTTATTGTTATTTTTGAATTATCACGTCTCCGCACAGAAATCCTCTAAGCTATCTAGCCGTAAGAGTAATTCTTAATTCTATGCGTTCACTCTAAAAACTTGGAACGAAATGCATAGCTAACCGCAGCTAACAACTTGTTGGCTACTTCTACTAAAGCAATGATGCATTCGCGTGCTGTCTGTAATCTAAAAGTTAGCGTTCAAATGACAAAATTACTTGATCAGAACCTACTTTAGGTCACAAAGTTGAAATATTTTATTATACTTACATGTTTATTTTATTATTATGATTACCTATGTGACTTTTTAAATGTATGCTATTTATGTAAAATCATATTTATGTCTTTGTGAAAACAATACGCGGATTTGTTTTGTCAAATTTACACAAAAGCTACCCTAAATATGCTTAAAATTAGGGTTTTTTGCACCTAAATGAAATAATACTTAAAACACTGTAATATTTTTTTTAAAGTTGTCTGTTTTTGCTTATCAATTTCGACCTTCTGTTAAATGTTGTACTCACAAGAAATGATAGCTGCAGTTCCCAGGGAACTTTAATGCAGCACTGCGTTCTTCCCAGGGTTCGCTGACTCAACTACCAATCAGACTGCAGCAACCGGTTCAGCCCCCGCCTTTAACCCGGCCCCTTGCGCCATAAAGAGGCGGGGCTAAAACAATGATGAGGTAATGGGGGTAAACAGTAAAAATGGCGACGTCTGTAGCCAAAAACGAGCAACCGAGTCTAAACGGGATTATTTGCGAGCCCCAGACAAAAAAACTGACAGACCTGCCGACGGAGTTGCTCGAACATATTCTGTGCTCCCCTGTCCTCAAACATGTCGACATTTGTAACGTTTCCTGCGGCTGCAAACGGCTACACGACGTGTGCCATGGAAGGGGAAAGGTCTGGGAACACCAGTACAAACTCAGGTGCTCCCGTTTTTTTGTGGCATTTGATGCGGAATTCTCGTTTCTGGTGTTTGGTTTTGTGATTCTTGTGGAAAACAATCTTATTACTGTTGTTTATTGTCTTATTTAGGGTCCTGAAGCCCTCAGTATCGACTTGGGCTCGTTTACTCACAGCAAAGTGTCAGCCGTTTGTTTTTCTGCTGATGCACCAAATTTATCCTTAAAGCAACTCCTCTGCAGACAGCTATGAAAGGATACAAAGGTTATGAGATTATCATTAGTAAAAATTTATATTGTGTTCACATAGCGTAAAATATTATATATTTTTATTTGACCTTGAATCTTTTGTATAGAACTGCACTGGCGATCTTGGCTTTTTGATTCTTTCATTTTTGCAGGACAAAACGGTACTTCTGCAGCATGCAGGAGAAACTGTGCTGATCCAGGCAATTTAGCGGCAATGATCCTCATGGTGCTCATGCATGTTTCATAAAACACCAAATCTGCTGTCTTCATCAACAGATGGCCAAGACTGCAGAGGTTTTACCGCCAGAACGAGAGCTGTGACTGGCTTCGGGAGTACAAAACACGCCACAGAGTTGGCATACAGATCCGGAGGACCGTGGAATCCATCTCAAAGAGATTCTTCACAGAAGTCGTGAGTGTTGTGTTGTTGGCGTTTCGGTGCGTGCTTGTGTAAAACCGTGAGCGTTCTGTGGTGGGAAACTAACCCGGAGGTCTGTAACTCAGCCTTGCGTCGGCCAGGTGCTGGGAGACAGCTTTGCGGAGATCGAGTCACTCGGGATGCCAGAGCACTTCTGTGAAGACGAGCTCCTCTTCATACTCAACTCCAACAAGAGGTGAGCGCAATCAGACCTTAATATGAGAGTATTACCCGCCGTCTTCTGGATCGTTAAAGTCCCTGTCCTGTTCTCCACCCACCACTACAGGAAAAGCTTGACTCTGAAATACTATGCAAAGAAAATCCTCTACTTCCTGAGGCAGCAGAACATCTTGAGGAGTCTGAAGAGCTTCTTGGAGCAGTCTGCAGGACAACAATCAGCTCTAGAAGGTGATTTGTCATTTCTGGATATTCATTAAGTTCTGTTTCTTTAATGCTGGTGTACACACTAAATATTCCATTAAAGGGGGCAATATCATGTAAAATCAACTGTTTTGAGTTTTATATCATGTTATCATGTTATACTCACATAAAAAACATGCCCAAAGCCTCGCTTTGACTCATTCACGCTAGAAATGTGCGATATGGCAAAAAATTCACATCACGATATACATTTTGATGAGTGGCGGTAACGATATATATCACGATATAAAACTTATAATAGAAAATAAATAAATCACACATTAATTGAGTCGAATAAATATGTATAGCTAAAAAAATTAGACCTTAAAATCTCCTTTTTTAAGGGACACTTTAAAGTCTCCCATAAAAATCTAAATTTAAGGGAGATCTACCTGGTTAAATCAAATGTGTATATATATTAACACACACACACACAATAACTTTAATGTAATTGATTTGATTTGAGTTATTGATTCAACAGGAAAAGATTACTAAAAATCAAGCCTGACTCAGCATAATTGCTGTTTTACAGCAGGTTCCTGTTCTGCAGCACATAAAACACTCAGAAATACAGCATCACAATCACATCATTATACACCATAGGCACAAAGACAAACAAGCATACCAAATTTCAGGAAGGCAGCATTTGCAAAATAGGACGTCTAAATATGAGCACAACAAAAAGTGTCCAGCAGATGGCAGACAAGATTCTTCTTAAAGGGCTGTAGTTTTGAAATGGACTTTATGTTTTGAGGAATGTCATTCCATGCTTTAGTATAAACATAGAAGAAAGACCTCTRGCCGTAACAGTTTTTAAAAGTTGGTAATATCAGTTGTCCTTTTGTAACAGATCTAGTTGAATGACCACTTCCAGAATTTGATTTGGGCAGCATTGCACAGAGACTTCCATAATTAGCACCTTGGAAGCTATGAAAATATAAATTAATACCACTATACAAAACATAATTCTGAAAAGTCAAGGCATCAGACAATGAAAGAACTGTACAGTGATGAGTCCAACCAGGAAGTTTTTTATGAATTTTGTAGGCCCCGCTGTAGAGCCTAACTATGGGTTCTAAGATTTCCTTTGTTGTAAGAGACCAAAGAGGTAAACAGTACGACATGGTTGAGAGTATAATGGCATGAAGATAGATATTTGAAACAGAAGATGTCAGATTGGATCTAATTTTTGAATAAACGTATAATTTVYGTTTCAACTTAGTGGTTAAGACTTGTACATGATCACGATAAGTCAAATGAGAATCCAAAGTAATTCCAAGATATTTTGTAGGTAGTGACAATATCAAGGGGTTTGTTTAAAAAAGTGAGTTGATTTGTTATATTGAAATGTCTCCTGGGTGAGGAAAAATACATGAACACAGTTTTTTTTAACATTAATTGACAAAAGATTATCTTGAATCCAACCATGAAATGTCTGAAGATCTGCTTGTAACTGACTATTAATAGATTCAATATAGATATCTGCATCCATTGGATGTTGTGTTTGGAATAACCTGCTTTGTTTTAAGGTGGTAAAAGGAATTGTTTGTATTTATTCCTTTCTACACTTTGCAGATTTTTTTTCTGCACTCCACATGTTTAATCTGTGCGCGCTCCGGCGGGGTGACACAATCATCCCGTTTATGTTTTACTTTTTTTTTTTTAATTGGAAAGACAGTCTGACTGTCACCCTTTCCCACAGCGCTTCCCTGCTGTACAAGGAGACAGTAAAGGCTGAGTTATAGTCGCGCTTTGGAACGCACGGCCCAATGCGCGCGGAGTGCGCACGCATTCGGCCGTGCGTCGTCGCGCTATGACCGCAGGAGAAACGAGATCCAGACTCAGTGAGCTTTTGTGCGTCCTGGAGCACTACTTCACCTGCACTGACAGTCGCCTCGCTGCGCCATGTGCAGCGGTGCGCGCTCCTTTCGCAGCAGGCAGTGTGGTCGGTCGGCATCCGACCGGAGGACGCGCCGTCACGTAAACATGTAAACAGTTGGGCGTTCATTTTCACACACCCGAACCAGGTCCGGATAAGTTTTTTTTTTTTTTTCTCCCCCTCTTCATTTGCGCTCTCAGCCTCGCTGCTTCCCGCTTCCTCTGTTTTGACTCCAGCCGGTTACATCATCAAAAAGAATTGCGAGGTTGGCCGGTAGACTACAGATCTCTATCATAGGACAAATTTATATCGTTTCTACCGTATACCGTTTATATCGCGCATTCCTAATTCACGCATGTTTGAGAAATCCTGCAACGTTTTTAGGAAGCCATGCTGAGGAGCAAAACGACAGGTGGGGACCAGAAACACCCCTGGGACGTGTTTTTAAACCAAGCTTCCTCATCACGGAGCACACCTCCCCACCCCACACACCCCGCCCATGACTCCTGCAGGCTCTCGGCAGTAACAAAGTGAAAGTGAAGCTTAACTGTCTGCTTCTCTTAACACTATGTATCACTCAGTGAAGCTCTTTTCAGTTTCAAAATACCTTTGAGGAAATGTATTTTCAGATAGCAAGTAAACTGTATCATAGCGCTCGCAACCCCCCCCCCCCTCCCCCCCCGCACCGAAATGGGTGAGGCAGAAGCAGAAGGTGGTTCTTAAAGAGACAGAGGCCAATTTCAAGGCGTTTAGAAGAGGAAGTGATGAGGAGATAAGTTTATTTTCTATTTAAACATAAAAACAGCATTTTAATTACAATTAAATATAAACTTGTAGATACTTTATTATGGTATAGTATTTAAATCTATGCCTGAGAAAAACATAATATTGCCCCTTTAACTTATTTATCTGTAATATAACAGGAATTTTATAAAAAAGTTAGAAAAAAATTTTTTTTTCAAAAACTTAATTAATGGAACAAATCAATACATTTTTCTGTAAAAGTCATCTTATTTACTTGTCAGACTGTGTTATTTTGTGTGTAAACTGGTTGGTAACACTAAAATTAAAATCTTGTGAGTTGTACAGGCCAAATTGTTCACGTCTGTTTTTATTGATCCAGTTTTGGTGCTGCATCACTTAAAAACTATGAAAAAGGGAATCTGACGCCTTGTCTGATCCAGAAGTCGGGACTTGTCGTGTGCTGCATCGCTCTCCATCCGTTTAATTTTTTCCTTCACTGTAATTGGCTCAAACTCTCCTAAAACGACTGGCTCTTGGTTGTGTTTGGCCCTTCAGGTGCTGTGCTGGTGGATCAGTACTGTAACCCACTGGCTGACGTCACACTGGAGGGCATTTCGGCTCAAATAGATGAAATTGCAGAAAAGGTGAAGAAGATGCTGAGAATCAAAAACCCATCTCATCCCAGCCTGCGCGTCGCCAACGGTTGGTTTCTGAGGATCACGTCTGAAAAGAAAAGTTGTCGTTTTGGAACTCGTTTGTGTTTTTATGTTTTCCTTGCAAAAAAAATCGAATACTATAAATTTAAAGCTCTTTAACTCGCAGCAGTGAAACAATGTCTGAGGCTTTTTCCTGCAAAGTAAAAATCTAATAACATTTCATTCTGGTGTTTTCTTGTAGGTGACTGCGTCATAGAGGACTATGAGCTCCAGAGGCAGCTGCTAGGTGCCCTGAACTCTGTTCTGTATGAGCAGCTTCAGTACAAAGGCAACGAGTGTGACTACTACAACCCTCTTAATTCTTACATTCATCAGGTGGGCATTCTAATTCAACAAATAACAATTAAAAGCCCCATCAGTATGTATTTAGAATATTTCATCAGTCTTGTTGTACATTTAGGTGCTACTTCGGCGTACAGGGATTCCCATCAGCCTCTCGGTCCTCTACATGACCCTGGCTCGGAAGCTGGGCATCCAGCTGGAGCCCGTCAACTTTCCAAACCACTTTCTGCTGCGCTGGTGCCAAAAACAAAGAGGGTGGGTATGGCTGGGAAAATAAAAGTCATGTTTCTCTTTCTGTCTGGCACCAACAATTCTGTTCACATTCACTCAAAGCCAAAAAATAAATCATTTTTTGTATTTTTTTTAAATACATTCATTACTCTTTTCATTGCTGCTCAGCTCTTCAACTATTATACCAGATGATTTTATTATGACATTGTGATTTTATTTCACAGAGTTGTAAAGTAACTAAGTACAAATACTTTGTTACTGCACTCAAGTATAATTTTTGGGTGTCTGTACTTTACTTGAGTAATTATTTTTCAGTCTACTTTTTACTTCTACTCCTTACATTTTTAAAAAAGGCAAGAAGTAGAAAGTTGTTACTTTTCTCATTTTTGCTTGTTTTAATTCCAGCTTGTTAATGTAAAAATAATAAATACTATCCATATAAATTCTGCCTCCTAGATAGAGTGAATTTAATTGTGGTTTAATGAGAAAATTAAATATATAAAATTCTGAGACTGTATTAGTTTGTACACAAACAAATCATGTCACACTCCAG